TTTTTAAATTGTAAGGATTGTTCTTACCAGCATGCAAGGTGGCTACATTTCATGTGAGTTTGAATTGTGGAAATAATGTGAGATGGAAATATGAATAGATGCTTACTTCATGAATAAATTAAGAAATCATGTGAATCTTCACAAATGAAATATTTGCCAAAAAATGGCAAAACTTCAAAGTCAACCAGTCAAGTGACATATATTGGATTTTCTCTAGTGCTGCAGGCAGCACCCCTGAGCTGCTCACAGAAAGACTGGCCAGTTTTGTTCAGGGAAGATGTGACGTCATCGGAAATGCATCCCTCTCATAAAATATGACGTATATGAACTGCTAAATAAAGCCCCAGATCTATTTCTCAGTGTCCATCTGTGTGGATGTAGCTTCTCTTCTTTTCTTTACCATTCCCTTTCTTTGGCTTATGTACTACTTTTCATATTATAAGACTCAGTTCAAAAGAAGACCTTTCTGAAATGTTTCTTAATATCCTCTCCATTGAGTTTTCCTTGGTTTTTCCTTTCCTGGGTTCTCTTGGAGACTGGTACACATCTTTTTCTAGAAAACTGTGTTCCAGTTCAGTGCACATCTGATCTACTATTGTGAAGACAAATTCTGTGTCATAGGTTCTGGGAGGACAACGGTGCATAACACAACCTTCAGAGTGAGAACTCAATGTTTAAAAAATAAATTCATACATTTACATATTTATTTATAGAGCGCCTATACAATATACCAGGCACAATGTAATGAGCTCGAATTGGCAGTGACAAATTGGACAAATGGTCCTTGTGCAAACCTCTAGTTTAAACAGGAAGACAGATACTGAATAAATAATTAAAATGTGATGATAAAAGAAAGATAGGCTAGAGCTGAGAAACCTAAGCTTTTCCAGGGAATTAGAGAGCTAATCTCTGACCCTTATTTTTAAGCACCAACGTTGTTTAAATAGGAACTAATAGCGGGAGATGTGTTTCCCCAATCAGTACCAAAGGTTGAGGAACTCGCTGCCTGTAAGCTACTGAGAAAGTCTTAGATATCAGAATCCCTGTTACAGGTGCTCTGGCTAATTAGAGTATAACTATATTTAAATGGGTTACATATCATAGTATATGATAATTAAGATAGTAGATTTCTTGTTTCCAATGGATGGTCTGAGAAGAATGGCTTTGATGCAGAATGACAGGGAACTATAGACAAAATCAAATCCAGATGCCTTTGCTGCATCATTTTTCTGTTTGGTACCTTGGTTGGCATTATTTCCACCTGGTGATAGAACTTGAGCTGTTTCCTTGAAAGTGAATAATAAAGGAAGAACAATAAAATGGTTGCTGAAGATGAAGTTAAATATAGAAGAGTGTCACTTTATGATTCATTTATAAGTTTCTGATCTCAAAATTTTAATGAAATATATTGGATCTCCCATCTGCCAGCACACAGGATATCTTACAACTATTTATGGTAATATAATTAAAGCTGATTCTATATACATCCACAAGTCAAAGGCTCAATTTAGGAAGGTATAGGAATAACACTAATATTAATTTGGCTTAAGTGCCATGTCATTGGAGTGCCAAGGCAGCAAACACCAGGCTTACAGGTACAGACCACCCTATGCCTGTCATAGTGGATTGGGAAACTGAACTAGGGTGAAAACCCTGGCTTATGTTGTGACAGGCTGACAGGGGATAGGTTGCTATGCCACTTGTTGGAATTTTTAAAAATGTTATTAAGGGCTTCTGAGTCCCATTGCACCATAGCTACACCTGTTCTATGGTGCACTTGGTATTATATTTGTGCACAAGTCCTACTTTTCAAACGAGGAGTCTTTATCACTAATATATCTCCTGTCTAGCACAATGGCAGGTACATAGTAGCCATTTTGTAAATGTTAGGTGAGTAATTCAATTCAACTTGTTGAGCAAATATGCTTTGTCCTCTTCAGCTGAGGATACAACAATGAACCAAACAGGCAAAATCCAGCTCTCATGGTATTTGCATTCTAGTGGGGGAGAAGACAGATAATGGATGACAAGAACAACAAAATATGTAAGATGTTAGAGAGGAGGACTATGGAGAAAGAGAACGTGAGGTAAAGAGGAAAAAAATGTTGACGGGGTGTGGAGGTGTGTTGTTATTTTATATAGGATAGACCAAATATTGTTATTTTATATAGGATGGACATTTTATATAGGATTGATACATTTACTGAAGAATCATGAAGGGAACCAGGGGACAAGTCACTCAGATACCTAGGAGAAGATTTCACGAAGGCAGGAAGTGCAGCAAATGAAAATCCCTGAGATGCGGATGGATTGGGCTGATGGAAGAGAGATGCCACGAGGTCATGTGGATAGAGTGGAGTGAATATGGAGGTGAGGGATGGAGGCACAGTCATGGATAAGGAAAGAAAGGTGGAGATGGGAGGAGAGAAACAGCCACTGGGGTGAGGCTGGGGGAGTCTCAAAGGGCAGATCATGGAGGGCCTCATAACAGCATTATGAAACATTTTGGTTTTACCTTGAACAAGATAGGAGGATTTTGAGCAGAAGAGTGACATGGTATGTTGAGACTTTGTAGGGGGACAAAAGTGGAAGAAGGGAGACCAAATAGGTCTCTCTGAATAAATTAGTGGATGAATGAATGAAAGCCAATTAGGAAGCAGACAAAGAGGAATTCATTCTTGTGTGATTCCCAATGGTTTTCAATCAGGTATATACATTCACTCCACACTCCTGATTACTCTTATTTTTTAAAAAGGTTGTTTTTGGCCAGGCACAGTGGCTCTTGCTTGTAATCCTAGCTCTTTGGGAGACCAAGGTGGGCAGATCGTGTGAGTCCAGGAGGTCAAGACCAGCCTGGGCAATATGACGGGCAAACCCCATCTCTACAAAAAAAATACAAAAATTAGCTGGGTGTGGTGGCATATGCCTGTAGTTCCAGATACTCAGAAGGCTGAAATGGGAGGACTGCCTGAGGCTGGGAGGTTGAGGCTACCGTAAGCCATGATTGCGCCAATGCACTTCAGCCTGGGTGACAAAGAGAGACCCCAGCTCAAAAAATAAAATAAAAACTAAATGGTGTTTCTGTCTGCTTTTCTCAATTCAGGCCAACTTGATTTTCTAAGGTATAGGTCATAAGTAGTTGGTGATAAATATTTTTCAGAACTGGAATGACAGAAAATTATGCAAATTCTTTGTCCAGAGAAGATTCTGCAGAACAAATATGTATGAATAAAGCATATCTACAGCTAACACTCATGTTGTCTACTTGCTTTAACAGTTCAGATGTGTGCTCTGTAGGATGTAGCTTGTAATTTCTATTGATACATGAAGGTGGCAAATGGCCTTTCTGTTTTGAAGATGAAAGAGAAAGGACGTGGAAAATCCAGAGTCCATAGTGTTTACTTCTCTATAATATTCTGGGCATAGAATGAAATCTAGATGTTGTTTAAAGAGACATAAAGTTGAAAGGTCCTAGTGACTTGCTAGTACACTTAAAGGTGGAGTTATTAATTATATTAGTTTTCCAATATAATATTGTTAGATTTTGAGTTTTAAGTCTAAAACTAGTGTTTCTGAACTGTCAAGAGGATTTATGATTAGTTGTACCAATTTCCACTTAAAATATATATGGTGATCCAAGTTCTAATTATATTTAATTATCACTGTTTCAAAAAATTTTTATAATATAGTCTAGTGTTCTTTATACACATTTACTTTTTTTCCCCAGTTTTTAAAATTGTATTTAGTTTTCTGAAACAAGGTCTTGCTCTGCCACCCAAGCTGGAGTGCAGTGGGGTCATCATGACCCACTGCTGCCTCTGCCTCCCAGGCTCAAGCGAGCCTCCCACCTCAAATTCTTGAGTAGTTGGGACTACAGATGTGCACCACCACACTCAGCCAATTTTTGTATATTTTTGCAGAGGCAGGGTCTCCCTATGTTGCCAGGAGTGGTCTTGAACTCCTGGCCTCAGCAATCCACCTGCCTCAGCCTCCCAAAGTGCTGGGATTATAGGTGTGAGCCACTGTGCCTGGTTTCCCGTTCTTATTGTCATGAATACTAAGTTTTTCCAAACCCTAGTCTTTGTAAGTAAAAAAATTAAGAGCAATTCTTTCCTCACCTAGGTTTTCCCTTTGTTGATCAAATTCAGACATGGAATCATATTAATGACACTATTGAAAATAACTCTTAGCTTTTTAGTTTTCAGTATAGATCACTAATCACTTTTAATCTTTTTTTAGATTACAAATCCCTTTGTTAAGTGAAAAATGTTATAGTCTCTTTTTATAGATCAATGCACACATACACATGCATAAAATACACAGTATAATTTCAGGGAATCCATCAATTTTCTGAATCCTATCCATGGAATACTTTAGCAAGAAGTCAAATATTTAATTACATCACATACGCATTCAGATCAAGTCCATTGTCAGTATGTACACGTATAAGTGAAATCAGGCTCAGGTAAATAGGAGGTGGTGAATTTTTCCTAGAATTTTTACTTTGCTCTGATTATATTTTTTTCTCTTTCATTTTTGGTCAGTTTTTCCTTACTTAGTAAGGGTCACAGAAAACTTGTTCCCTTGCTACTTTAGGTGTTTTGGGAAGGTGTTTTTTCTTTCATGTCCTAATTCCAATGAACAATTGTTTTAATTTATATGTGGGTGATTCCCATCCAGACATGATCTGCACATTTACTTTTGTGAGACAATAAATTTCCTCATTGTTGACAGAACTGGGTTAGAGTTTTCTGTTATTTGCAATAAAAACAGAACCAAAGGTTTCTACAGTAAGTTCTCTTGATACATTTTTAAAAGCATGAAATCAATATTCCTAATGACATTTTAACCTCTATTCTAGCTGTGCCATCTACTATTGTTAACCGAATTATTTTTTTGCTTTTTAAAATAAAGAATGAAAAGGTTGTATTAGGATGTTTCACACTCAGCAGGCTAAAGTGTTCTATTTTTTCTGATAGTGGACCAAGTATCAGGCTTACTTGCTTGGATCAGCTCCTTTGAAGTAGGCATTGACTGTTTCTGTAAATGCTGCTGCAACAGGGAGCGTGTCCTGGGCTCCCATGGTTAGGGGGCTGGGTCCCCTGGAAGAGCCTGCATGAAATGAAAAGTTTTCATTTATTATGCAAATAGGAGACACTTTAGTGTATGTGAAACTAACAGCCCATTAAAGGATTAAGGAATAAAATCTACCCCCTAATGTAGAAAAGTAAATGCTCTAAGAACCATAACTCTGTATATTCAACATAGAGCTCAAGTATTTAAAAGAAAATATTTGGCTGGTTTACAGACAAACACACTTGAAATTAATTCAATTATGTATTTTGCTACAGAAACGAAAATCCAAGCAGAACAAAGGCACGGAGGTTTTCAAATGTTTTGCATAAAACATAAGGCAGTATTTGCATGACAGTTTGTACAGCAGGTGGTTAATAAAGACAATTACTAGTTTCCTATTTGAGCATTCAGTCCAATAAATTGCCCATACTCAAAACTTTTTTCACTTTGAATAGCAGCCAAGTGGTATCACATAACCCATTTGTTTTTTTCTGGATATTTCCATTTCAAAAAGCCCAGTTACTCTCAGATCAAGTAAGCTCAAGTTTACATGTCCAAAAACATACACAACCAAAATATACGCATCGACTTAGTACAACACATAAATGCACTAATTCACACTATTAAAAGTAACAGAAGCTCTCAGGGCACTCACTGGGTGCCTTACATGAAAAATCTCATTCCAATTCCACATCTGCCCAGTGGGATGGGTATGATTATTCCCATTTTGTGGAAGAGGAAACAGAAGCTCCATGTATGTGACTTGTCCAAGATAATAGTTAAGTGGCAAAACAAAAATTCAAACCTAGGATTATCTCCCTATAAAACTCATGTTTTTCCCACCATACCATGGAGTGTTCCAAATGAATCATTTTCCTGAATCATTTTGCTGTGTGTAGCTTCTGAAAATATCAACGTTTAGGATTATTGTTTTTGTTATTGATCTCTATGCATGGTATTGAACAGTAAAGTTTTGGTAATTGTTACATAAAGTATTTAATTGTGTCACATACTCACTGCTTCCCCTTCCTGCCAAACACTGCATTTACTTCTCCCCACTACTGGCATAGACTACAAACTTTAGTGTTATGTTTGTTTTCTTTTGCCTTCAATAACTTTTTGTCCTCTTCTCCAGGTCTGAAAATAATCTACCAATTGTACACCTCCCTCTTCAATAAAGCTTTCCTTGATCATTTTAGTTCATTCTAGTCTCTTTTCTATCTCCTCTTGGCTTTCAATATCTTGGACTTGGCAATTGACAATTAATTTAACAAACAGTTATCTAATATCTACTATGTATCAGGTATTATGGTAGGTACTGGGGAGTCAATGAGTACTTTGTCAATAGTACTTAGTCCTCAATGAGTTACAGTTCAATGTGCTGATGTTATCAGCAGCAGCATGCCAATCATCAACATCATCAACATTTGCTAATCTTAATTACCTCCATTAACATTATTTGTTGCACACTTACTAAGTGTTTTATATATTACCTATATAAATGTATGAAGTAAGTATTGTCTTCATTTTACAGTTTGATGGAACCAAGGCGCAAAGAGTTTATACAACTTGTTCAGTCCTGCACAGCTGGTTTGCATAAAGTTTAAGATTGGCACTAGGATATGTATGAGTTCGAAGTTTCAACTCTGAAGGCTTTATTATTTTGCCTTCTTACTAGGGAATTACAGTACCAAGTGCACAATTATAGTGCCACTGGGTGAGTCTGAAGTTAGAGTGTTCATGCTAAGTCTTCGCTGCCCATAGAGCCCTAAATTTTAAAAGGAAGGAACAATGGCATTAGCTTCTTTAATGAGACCGTGACACTCCCTAAAACCTAGCCTGCACTATATTGGCCTTTCACTAAATAAATGCTGAATTATCCACAGTTGGGTCTCAGAAAAGTAAGGTTTGTGCGCATTTATAAACAATAAAGGCACAATAAACACAGGCCATTATTTGTAGTAGTGTTGTTCAGTTTATTTGCTCACTCATTAGTTCAACTGTTTATTGAGCAACTACCAGATTTTGGAGAAGAATGGCTAATGGCTTCTCTAGCTGTTGGTTAGAACTAGGCCACGGTGTTAAGAGGGCTGAACTGTTCTATCAGGGTCTTTTTCACTATGCGATTGAAACTTGGTGAGGAGGATAGATAAATCTACAATCAAATAAAGAGATTTGATAAATTCTTTAAAAGAATGGTAGGAGCAAAGCTCTATGAAAGCACTTAAGGCTGCTTGTATAGGTCAGCATAGGTTTCATTAAGATGATGTCGGAACTGAGGTCTGAGGATGAATATGACCTCACAAATGGTAGAAGGAATGAGGCCCACCGTGTGTGTACATGGGGAGCTGAGCATACACATTTTGAGGAACCACAGGAAGCGTGGTGTTGTGTGTGTATGTGAGTGTAGTGGGTATTGAAGGTGACAGGAGCAAGGTAATTTGAGTATGAGGCTTGGGGAGTTAGCAATTAGGTCATGAAGAATTTTATATAAATATTTAGAAAAATTTGTCTTCATAGCCATTAAAATCATAATTCATTTTTGATAATCTAATACAAATCTAAGAATACTTTTCAGAGCCAAGCACACATATATGCATCATTTTTATTATTTAAAGTAGCATTATAAATTTCCTGAGGTTCTTGAAGTTTTGAAACTAGGGTTAGAACACACTGAATGGAAAGTGGAGGCCTCTGAAGTATTTGAAACAGGGGCGATTTGCAATGGACTTGAGTTTAGGGCATGCTAGCGATGTAAATGTGTGAAGTAAGTATTATCTTCATTTTACAGTTCAATGGAAACAAGGCTCAAAGTGTGGTGAATAATTTAGTGAAGGAGACAATAATGTCGGTGAGGATATTTCTTAGGAAAAACGATAAAAACGGGAAATACAGGTGTTAGTATAGAAAGGGAATGTCATCATCATAATATTTTTCAATTCTGCAAAGCATTTAATAGTCTTCTACGATAGTCTTGTGAACAAAATAGTAAAAGTTGTATGGATCATGGTCTTGCCAAGGGAACTGACAATTAGACAAATCACAATATCCAAAGAGCATGAATCAGTAGCTATACATACATTGTGAAGGAAATCTCTAGTGGATTATCTCAGAGATTGGTCCCTAGCCTTGGGATCTTCAGTGGCTTGGACAAAACTCAATGAAGTGCTCAGAAAGGGCACACTGTAGTGGCTAAGAGCATGGGATTTGGCATCAGACATACCTGGGATTGAGTCCTGTCTCTGACACTTGTTATCTAAATGATCTTTGGCAGGGATGATGTCATGATACCCATTTTGTAGGCCTGTTCTGAGGATAAAATGAGGCAAAGCATTTAGCACAGCGCTAGAACCACAGTAAGCACTCAGTAATGATTAACTATTTTTATGATGATCATCATGGCAGATTCATTAAAAGTGCTAAAAATTTTCTTAAATTTTTGAGGTACTAAACTGGAAGTTATAAGAAAAATATCATCAGAAACAAATGTAAAATTCTTATATATCAAGATTTAAAATTAATGAAACAATTGTGGTTTGTGAAAACTTGCTTGGTAGAAGAATATGTGAAAAGAAAGCACCTGGAGGTTTTATTTGATCATCAACTTTCTATTATTGAGTTCTAAACATCTTCCCTAGCTTGGGCTATATCAAAGGATGAGTAAGACGTACATCACTAGAAATGATGGTTGTACCGCTTTTAGTTTGCTTGTGTGCTTTGTTTTAAAGCTCATCGATGGGAATCGAAACACATATCCACAAGTTAAAGACCACACTCTTCAGTGTAACGATACACCAGGCCATCTGTGGCGTGATCGAGACCCATTTCTCCTTACCCACATCCTCCCCCGCCCCAACAACAATGCCTCCTCTAGCTATGTTCAGCTCTGAACACCATAGTCCTTATTGTAGAATTGATCAATAATGCCAGGGAAGCAGAAAAACACAAAACAACAAACATTTACAAAGAACCTTCTTACCTCTAAGGATCCAAAATTTACAACCCTAATTTCTTCGCATCCCTATACATTGCATTGATATCCCATTTTGTGTTTTACTTTTTCCTACTTACAATATTCCTTATTGCTATTTGGTCTACGTATCATTTCCCACAACTATTTTGTTTTGCTACAGACATTCTCCTAATGTTGAACCACTTCTAGAGAGCAAACAAAATCCATATTTGTATAACCTGGTATTCTTTTCCTTTTTCAATTTCCTTAAGATGTAATTTATTCCTACAAAGTAGAATGACCAAATTCAAAGGCAGATCAATGTTTAATTGACAAGAATACCAGGTGTTTTGCATAAAGATTATACTCAATGAAAATGATATGAGTAATAAATGAATGCTTTTGTTCCCCCACAGCACCTCAGAGAGTTTTTGTTTAGTCTCTTTACTGGAAAACAGGGCTAAAACCAGAAGAGTGTCCAACATGATGAGAAATTCAAACCTATGGCCTAAGAGGACTAAAAGTGGACTGGAAATTGTTTTCTAATAACTGAAATAATATTAACAGACAGCAACTCTGGAGACCAGAGTTCAATGCTATAGATCTGTAAGTTAATAGCTCTGTAGCCTTGGGGAAATCTACTAGATTAGTGTTAGGTTCTCTCGATCGCCAAATGAAGGCAATAGACTGCATAGTGTCTGTGTTTTAAGTTCCTATGATTTTAAGTTATCTATAGGCATTTAAAATTTTTACAGTAAGAACAACTTTTTAACAGAAGAATAAACTGCCCTGAAAACAGCCTATCCTCACTGGGGATTTGAGTAGATCTGGCATATTTCTGAGACACTACCATGTGCAAGATAGTGGTGAGAACACAAATATGTAGTCTTTCAGGAAGAAAAGGCATAAACATATGGAAAACTAATAATAATGTATGCAAACAAGAGGTTAGGTAACACAATAGTGTAAGTGACACCGCTATGGCATTATTTCACTGCAAGATTAATTACCAAATGAGTGGTGTGGCAGATGCTATTAGTTGATTTCACAAAGGAAACCTGGACCCTAGAGTCATATAGACTTG